CCCACCCCACCCCCCGCCCAGAGCTCTGGCTACCAGGAAAGACTGGCCAAGAAAGCCAGGGAATGATTGTCTGTGGAGTAAATGTTGAGTAGAGGGAGACAGGAAGGAGCCAGCAGAGAGACTGCTCACCCCTCTTCCCCAGGATGGAGCTATTCAGAGCAGCGTGGTTCCCCAGGGACCCCTTGTGACGCAGCAGCCGCTTGAGCTGCTTAGGAAGCTGCGCTCAGCTCAGCAGTGCAGCATCTCTTTGGCTTCTCCCTTTCCCTGCTGCCTATCTCTCAGCCCCTCACGCTGACTGCCCTGGGATTAGACCACCCCACCACCCCCCACCCAATGAAGTGTGAAGATGTAAGTTTAACTCGTGCTCTGTTTGTGTTTTGAAGAAACATGGCCTAAAACCATCAGTCAGACTAAGTTCTCTGAGCATATGCTATTAAGCTATAAGGCGATGGTAAAATATATGTATTTTAAAACTACAAAACACTTCTAAATTACTCATAGGTCATAGATGAAATCATGCAGACAGATTTGAGCAAAATTGACAGATAGGAAAGATGTCTTCCCACTCGGAGCCCAAGTGCGAGGGCTGCGGAGAGCAAGAAGAAAAGGGGGCTAAAATGAGTGCAAGAGGAGTGAAAATTATTTGACCAATATTTGCCTTCATCATTACGAATGGTGATGGGGTCTCCAGAATAGAGTCTCCCGTGTTTACCATGAAGATTAACCAAGGCTGGGCTGGGCTGGCTCGGCTGGGGCACGGGAAGCGGAGAGCCGTATGGAAGCTTTTGTGGCGATCCAGAGAGTGGGCATGAAGAGGGAGGCTGGGGGCAGAAGGAGCTGAGGAGGGAGGCAAAGTGTGTCCTGGAACCAGAGGAGGCGGGCACAACCATGTCCAACTTCTGAACTAGCTTTGAAGTTTCCTAAACACCAACAAAGACTCACTCTCACCTTTGCTTTCAGTGTTTGGACCCCTGAATGCCACGGGGTGTGTGTACTTGGCCACCCACTTCAAACGAATGAGCTTTCAGTCATGTGTAAGGACCCCGCAGGGGGCAGAGTGCACACGTGGTCAGCCAGGGAACCAAAGGTCAGCCATTCAACTCACCAGTCGCTCCTTCTGCCCTGTGGGGTTGCTTTGGGTCAGAACCGACTCAATGGCACAGGTGTCATTTAGGGGGACCTTGGCTTAGTCCTCAGGGACCCTGGTGGTGCTGTTAAGTTAGCACTGGAAATGTGAACCACACGGTCAGTGGTTTGAACCCACCAGCCACTCCACAGGAGAAAGAGGAGGCCGTCTGCTCCCATAAAGATTTCCAGCCTCACAAACCAAAATAGGAGCCCAGGTGGGCGGAATGGTTATGCGTCGGGCTGTGACCCGCCAGCTTGACACCACTCCCCGGGAGAAAGATGGGGCTTTCTACTCCCCTAAACAGCAACAGTCTCGGGAACTCACAGGAGGGTGTGCTACCCTGTCCTGCAGGGTCACTAGGAGGCGGTGTGGACTCGATGGCAGTGACTGGCTTGGTTTAAGCCTTACGTGGGCCGCTACAAGTTGAAACTGGCTTCATGGCAGGGGGGTAGCTTGTTTGTTGGTCTTGGTGCTGGCTGAGTCAGGATGGGACGGGTCTGAGGCTTAACAGGGTAACCCTATGTTCAGGCTTGTCTAGGATAGACCCAGTTCCTGATGCAGTTGTGACACGTTTGGCCACATAGAAGTTACCATGGCTGTTAGAGAGGACAAGAAAGTGGGGACGAAACAGAACAAGGATGGGACCCTAATGCTCATATTCCATGTCCAGCACTCCCGGGTATCAAAAGCTCAGGCCTGGGCCAGGAAACTTTCCTGGTCAATGAGTCTGTAGCCCATAGGAAGGTGACGGCAGGTCCCAGGTAATAAGTAGTTCCTGAAGACAGGTAAGTGGCAGCCTGGAGATCCCAGGCGAGGAGTTCATTCAGGGCACCGAGTACCTTATCGCTGGGGGCTGGAGAAAGTAGGATTGCCAGGCCTCTGCTGAGATGCCTTGCTGGGGTCCCTTGAGTGAGGAGGGAGGGTCAACAAGATCTCTTAAGGACTTCGTGTTTAAAACCCTTTGGGATGCAGTTTGAGGGGACTCCACCAAAGAGAGGGCAGGGGCCCCGTGACAATGTGGTATCAAAGTCTAACAAGGTATGCAAACACAAACACGCACCCATCTTCCTGATTCCTTCCCACCTGGCCTGCTGACCCGCAGCTGGAAACTCTCCTGCAGCCAGTGCTTGGGACTCTGTATTCAAATCATGTAAAGCGGACAGTTCAGGGGTAGAGTCATTCCTTGGGTGTCAGTGGAGTGCCCTCCTCCCTCCTCTCCTCATAGAGCTTGATCCCCAGAACAGCAGGATGGAGGCACCAGCCAGGCCAGGCTGTTGGCCCCCCTAGTCTTCAGTTGGGCCCTTGTTTTGTGGCTTTTCCTCCGTATTGTTCATGGGGAGCAGATAGCGAATGTCAGCCAGGCGGGGGGCGGGGAAGTGTCTAGAGGGATGGAATGCTATGAGTGCCGTGATGTTCACTGGTACTGGAATCACGACCGAGGTCATCAGTGCAGGGTGGGTTTGGGGAACCGTCCAATACTAAAGGACCAGTTTTTAAACTTCTCCAGAAAAGGCATCCGAACTAATAGGAGCGACGCAGTATCCGCCCTCGTGAGACCACTGAAAATGTGGGTGTCGTAGCAAAGTGTGATGAAGAAATCAGATGGTGCCTGGCTATCAGGAAAATATCATCTGGAGTCGTAAAGGCTTGTCTCAAAGCAAGCAGCCATCTAAGTGAGGAGTTTCTAAGTCCACACCGAAGCAGCACACCAGCGTGTGTGATCCAAGGACTGTAAAGAATAAAATCTAAACCCAGAGTACCAGCGTCTAAATTCTAAACACCTGGTTTATGGAATGCTATGGATGATAATGGAAGCTTAAAATCCATTTGCAGGGTCCCTACATGAATGGGGTCCGTGGGGAGTCCCCATTGCCCACAGACCAGGAATGTGGACAGCCCTAACATCAGACAAAGAGCATTGTAAGAGGATCCTAACAACTGTACTTGGACTGGGATGCCGCCCTTGCCACTAGATCTTCCTGTGGATCCACTTCCAAAGCATCCTTAGTTTTTCATCTCGCTTGCTTTTTCTTAAATTGTGGTCTTTCACAGTTTCACGTGATCATTGTTGCTGGGCCCTCTCCCACCACCCACCACCCCGCCCTGTTCTTTGTCCTTGTTTCCTAAGGTTTCTGTTTGTTTGTCTTGTCTTTGTATAGGGAATCCAGGATCTATGAATGCAATAACTGAAATAATAATTTCCTGGAGGCACGGAAGGGGAAGGTGGGGGAAGTGGGAAGTCCACACCATGGGCACAAGAAGGAAGGAAATTTCCAAGGTGGATTGGGGTGATGACTGAACTGCCCTTCTTCCTATGACTGAACTACTGAATTGTGTGATGTGTTCATTTTAGCTCAAGAAAAATAACTTTTTTTTAAGAACTAAGATGAGCTAAAGGCCTGAGTATGGCAGACATTCATGCATTTCCCTTCTGTTAGCTCACCTGGGCAGGTAGTACTGTAGCATAAGACATGAAGAAACTCATTAGACACTTGTGCAGCCCAAAGGTGGCAAGTTCTAAACCTGGAACATCTACCTCCCCACAAACCACCGATGGAAAGTCCAGAACAATTCTATTAAATATTAAATATTAGGTTTATTTCATCCAAGGCAAAGCTAAATAAACTTCTACAATGCAAAACATGTTGTCACGGCAAGGCAGTCTTACTGTGTCTGCTCTGTGCTAGAACAACTCAGTTCTGGGTGTTTGCACACATTTGTGCTCTCAGAGGCACCCCAGACCTGAGTCTTCATCCTCCCCCACCACACACACAAAGACCCATCACTGCACTTTCCACGTATAGTTCTATGGGGAAGTTGACTCTGGATATTACCATGCATAAGATAGTGCGTCAGGTAAGCTGTGCGGAGGCGGGGACTCCAACCTGGGCAAAGTCCAGGGAACAGCAAGCTATAGGCTTGTCCAGAAGTGTCCCCTCCTGCTGCTCCCTCTCCCTAGCGTGCTCCCTCCAATGGCTGCTGTCTGCAATAGTGACGTGGAGTCCTGGAGCTCCAGATGTGGTTGGTCTTACCCTAGCTATGGTTTCTTACTCCAGATATGGTTTCTTACTCTAGCTCAGCATCCAAGTCCCCGCCAGAAAAGATATCTCCTGAAATGTCCAGTGTCTCCCCCAAGTCGAGCACACAGTCTTCACACACACACACACACACACACACACACACACATTTACATAGCACCCTTCAGTCCCGGATCCCCCACCCCCACCACCAACCCCCCACCCCCGCACCCCCATGTTCACATCACCTTTGCGCACTCCCACAGCCACCATCTGGGGAGAATGCTCTCACAGCCCTGACCTCGCCCTCTGAGCAAGCCCTCAGTTCTGGTCAAGCAACTAGAAAGGAGGACAGTCTAAGCTGCACCCCCCACCCCCCCTAGACCTCTCGAGAACACTTCATTCTAGCCGTCTCCTGCGACCTTCTTCTACAAGGAGAAACCCTAGACATGAAACTCTGAGGCCCTGGTTTGAAGTCCCTGGAGGGCATCAACAGTGACTGCTTCCCTGCTGACTGAAAGCTTAGAGAGGTCAAGTTCCCCCAAAGTGAACTGCACCTCGGAAGAAAGGCCTGGGGGGCGACTTCCAAGCTCAGCCTCCGCAGCCCTTCAGAGCACCGTTCCACTCTCACACACGGGGGTCACCGGCAGCTGGGGGGAAGTCTACGCAACTGGTATTTTTATTTTGAGGTCAGGGCTGGGGAGACGGGAAGTACTCTGTCGCTGGTCTCTTGACTTCACTGTCAGGGCAGCTGGGTCCAGCCAGAGCACTCAAGATCCACCCCATAAGCAGGGTCTTGCTGCAGCCCACAGCCCTGGAAACACCCCACCCCCCAACCCCCAACCCCGAGGTCACTGGAGCCCTGTCTTTGCCCATGGACATCCGACTGCAAATCCGGGCCAATGTGCCTCGGTGAGGCTAATGCTGGCATCAGGGGGGCAGGTCAATGCTTTGTTGTGGGGACTGTCCCACACTGAGAAGTTTAGCATTCATAGTTCCCACCCTCCAAATACCAGTCATTCCCCCAACCCACCCCAGGCATTGGGGCCACCAAAAATCTCTCCCCTACCATTCCAATCAGCTCTATTGAAAACCACCATACAATAGCCATGGGGGGAAAAAACCTTACCGCATCTGAGTCAAGCATTCTTACAGCACAAATGTTAACATGAGTCTGAGGGCAGATAGGGAGAAACAATGTCCGTGTGTGTGCGGTGTGTGATGTGTGTGCTGTTGGCTAACACACCGAGCTAAGGGCAGGAGGGATTCGGAACAATCCTTCCAGTTACCATACTGGTCTCCCCGGTCCTTTTCCAAATCAAGATGATGTTTCTTTTTTCGATGAAAACTTACCAAGCTCACAACAGTCTTGTGAGGCAGGTATTATTACATTTTGCAGATGAAAAAAGACGAGCCCACAGAAGAGATCTGGCCCGCGTAGGCCTCAGCTGTAGACCAAGAGGTGGAAAGGCCTGGTGATGCCCCCTCCTGCCCCCACTTTCCGTGGACCACTCTCTGGGCTTCCTCACCAGGAGCCCCAGGGTGTTCTGCCAGCTCGGCTGTCAGGATTGAAGCGGGACGCAGTTCCACAGGACGGCAGCTGTAAGAAGTATTCTACATGGCTGCTAGCTTCCGTCTGTCTGCTCTCAAAGCCAGGAAAATCTGAACTCGAACCCAGAGTAGCTTCTGGGAGAGAGAACCACGGGGGAGTGGAAGAAAGCAGCGTGAGGACTGGTGAGCCCCCTTGGAGTTGAAGGACGGTCAAAGGACACAACCCATGGGGATTCTACCACGGGTTGATGTTCAAGTCCCGTCCCCCCACCCCCCATCGTTCTGGGAAGCTTGCTATTACTCTTTGGCAGGGAGGGCCCTGAGACAATCCCCATAGCATCTAATCTGCGAAGCAGGACTATCTATGCCCCTCTGGCCCGTCCTGAGATCCCAGAGCACAGAGACTCAGAAATTCCATACGAGAGTGGGCAAGGGGGCACAGATGGCAAAATGACCACATCTCCCTGCCACCCCTCACCCACATCTCCAACCTTGGCCAGTGTCTCCAAGACTCAGTCCCTGGCCAAGGAACCAGTGGTGTCCTAATTCTACCCCCACTCCAAAAAGCCCCCTGAGGCCCCTCTATGACCTTGGGTCACTGTCACACCAGAGTCAGCTGTTAAGTCAGGAAAGTCGGGCTCTTGGAAGATGGGGTACATGCTAGGCTTCAGGGAGCTAAGGCACAGTCTAGCCCCTCACCCGGGGGGTGCACACAATTCTCAGAAAAGCAGAGGGAACCTGCTCCCCCCAAAGGAAAGGGTGTGGCGCAGCTGAAGGAGGAAGCAGCCAGAAAACCCAACGATCCCCCCCTCGTTCAAAGGAAGACAATCCTGAAGGGAAGGGAGGCCCTTGGCCCAGGACTGGGGATTAACCTGGGGCAGGGAGGGCGGGTGATGGTGTGGGCACAGGAAAAACAAGCCAGGGGGAGGAGAGCCAGGCAGGATGGCACCACCTGCTGTTTCACAGGGAAGGAAGGGCAGGGGCTTAGCCTTCCCAGTGGTGGCAGTGGCCCTGCCCATGCCTCATTGCCAGCTTGGCAGGGCTGGAATGGACATGCCAGGGGCGGAGTCACCTCGGCGGACTCTGACTTGCCCATCTTGGTGATCCTGATGCCCAAAGGAGAAAAGTGAGGACAGGCTGGTAAGACAGAAAGCCCAGATGGGGGTGAGGGTGCTTTCATCCGCTCCTCAGCAAGAGATCAGAAGGGCAGGCAGGTGGGTCCAGGCCCCCCAAGGTCCAGGCAGCTGGCCCTTCCTGAGGAGGGTACAGAAATCCAGAGTGGAGGGCTAGGGCCAAGGCAGGAAGTTGGGAAAAGGAGGAGTTGTTAAGTTGTATGTTATGCTCCCCCAGGCAGAAGGATTGTTGGGGACCAGGCACCCCCCCACAGTGGAGGCTGGCCTCTTACCCTAGCCCCCTCCAGCAGGGCTCACCAACAGCTCTCAGAAAGGCCCCCTGTGCCCTGCACTGCCAGTCCCATCACAACAGGTTCATCCTCCGCATCCTTTCTCCAACCCCTCTCCGGAGTCCAGCTATTAGATCGGCCGTCCCTCAGCCCCAAATCCCTCTGGAGGAGAAATCCGGAGGGAAGCTAAAGTCCTGCCCAGACAGGGAGGTGTGGGGAGAGGCATGCTGAAGACAACCCACCTACCCAGCTAGCTGGGGATCACTGGCTCAGAGTCCTATTCCTGCCCCCTCCCCAGCCTGCCTTGCCCAGGGCACACCTTCCACACCCTGGCCCTGCCAGCCCTGATCCCTGGGGTGCTCTGGCTGGGTGAGTGGGGTGGGGGATGGCAGCTGAGAGAACCCATTTCTCCTTGACCAAAAAAACTACAGTTGGAGCCAAGCAGCAGAAGTCTCAGGCACGTGGGTTCTACAGACACAGCCCAAGCATCAGTTTGTCGTCAGAGAGGAAGGCTCCCTGGGTGGCTTCTTGGCCCGAAGCAGGGGATCAAACTTTGGTGGGTGGTTTCTCCTCGGCCTTGGAGCCAGGCAGCCCGTTCTCTGTGTTGTCGTTCCCGGAGGAGCTCACGAGACATTCCTTCCTAGAGGGGGAGAGAGGGGGAAGGAGAGAAGTGAGAATGCAGCGGGGAGGGGGCCCAGCCCTCTGCCCTCTGGCCTCTGCCCTCTCCCGGGCCTTCCACAGAGGGAAGAGCAAGGTCATGACGGGCATGGACCAGGAGAGAAGCCAGGCAAGCTCCCTGCTCCTTCTTCTCGTGTATCAAGCGAATTTAACAATCATCCCTTCTCGGTGGGGTTGCTGTTGGGAGCTACCTGAGCACTTATGATGGGGTCTGGCACCAGGAAAGTTGGCCACCACCTAGTCCTCTCCGTACGGCAGAGGGCAAGGTGTGCCAGGTGCCCTTCACGGGGCTCGGTGCCAAGGTGGAAAGAAATCAGGTAGTCTTCAGCCTGTATCACCCAGTAGGAAGGGGTCCAGGCCAGCAAGGAGTAGACCAAGGGCAAAGTCTCCCGGGCCCCACGAGGCCCTTCTCTGAGCTCTCTAGGAGTAGAAGGAGGGGGGTCCAAGAAGAGGGCAGCGGAGGCCATGGATTTGGGAGACCTGGGCGTAGGGTGGTGGGATAGGGCAGAAAGGAAAGATGGTTAGATGGGAAGATATCCCCCAGGCTTCACCAGTCCCTATCCTGACTGTGCCATCTAGCCATGTCCCTCCTCAGCTGCAGAGCACGGGCTGGACAGAACTCTTCTGGGATGACCGGACTGCTATTGCACTCTGAGCCTTCCCCTGCTAAAACACTGCTGCGACACCAGATCTCACCCTGCTCCTTGACTTGGTGGGACTGGGTTTGGGACCGTAGAGACCCTTGACTTGGTGGGACTGGGTTTGGGACCTTAGAGATGGACTTGGCATTCTGTCAGGATCAAGATCCTCCCAAATCCATGTTTGTCTCTCCAACCGGCACCAGGCTCCTTATTTGCTGTTGAGTTGGCTCTGCCCATGGTGATCCCAAGGACCAACATAATGACACCTATCTTGAGTCTCTTGTTGCCTTCCAGCCCGGAGGGGATCATCTTCCATCAGACAATATTCTGCAGCGACCACAGGGTTTTCCTTGGCTGCTTTTCTGCAATAAATCGCTCAACTTTTCTCTCCTGTCCATCTCCGTCTAGAAGCTTCATTGAAGCATGGCCACTGTGGGTGACTCTGCGGGTATCTGAGATATCGGTGACATCGTTTCTAGCATAATAGCAACACAGAAGCCACCGGAGTATGGCACACTGGCAGATGTGTGATAACTATGTCCTCTTCTGTTGTTGTTCAGTGTTGTCAAGCTGGTTCCAACTCACAGCGATGCTACGTGACATAGAGCAAAACACCGCCCGTCCTGCACCATCCCCACAATGGTTCTTATGTTGAAGCCCATTTGTGCAGCCCCTGTGCTAATCCATCTTCTCCAGAGTCTTCTCTCGACTGGACCAAGCAAGATGTCCTTTTCCGGGGACTAGTCTCTCCTGATAGCATGACCAAAGTATGTGAGACAACGTCTCACCATCCCTGCTTCTAAGAAGCATCCTGACTATACTTCTTCCAAGGCAGATTTATTGGTTCTTTTGGCAGTCCTGGGACTGTGGTGGCATAGTGGGTTATGCATTGAGCTGCTAACCACAAGGTTGAAAGTTCGAAACTACCAGCCACTCTTCGGGAGAAAGATGACTCTTTCTATCACCATAGAGATTTACATTGCCCTGGAAACTCACAGGGGCAATTTTACTCTTCCTAGCGCAGCGGTTCTCAACCTGTGGGTCATGACCCCTTTGGGGGTGTTGAACAACCCTTTCACAGGGGTCGCCCGATTCATTACAGTAGCAAAATGACAGTGATGAAGTAGGAATGAAAATAACTTTATGGTTGGGGGGTCACCACAACATGAGGAACTGTATGAAAGGGTCGCAGCATGAGGAAGGTTGAGAACCGCTGTCCTAGAGGGTCACTATTAATCAGAATGGACTTGATTGAAATGAGTATGTGTTTTGCTTCGCTTTGTCTTTGGCAATCCCTGGTACTTTCAATATTCTTCGCCAGCACCTTAATTCAAATGCACAGATTCTTCTTCGGTCTTCCTAATTCAATGACCAACTTTCACATACATATAAGGCCATTGAAAATGCCATTGCTTGGGTCAGGGGCAACTAAGCTCTCCAAGTGATACCCTTGCTTTTCCGTGATTTAGGCTTATACAACAAATTTACTCAATGCAATGTATCACTTGGTCTCTTAGCTGCTGCTTCCTTGAGCATGGATTGTGGATCCAAGCAGGAGAAAATCCTTACCTATTGGTCCAGTGGTGAGGATTTTGGTTTTCTTTACAACTGCAATGCAATCCATACTGAAGGCCGCAATCCTTGATCTTCATCAGCAAACCTGCCTCTCTTTCAGCAAGCAATGTGGTGTCATCTGTGTATATACGTTTGTTAATAAGCCTTCCGATCCTGATACACATTCTTCTTCGTATCATCCAGCTTCTCTGGTGATGTTCTCAGCATACACATTAAGTAAATATAATGAGAGGATACAACCTTGGTGCACACCTTTCCTGATTGTAAGCCATGCAGTAGTCCCTTCTTCTATTCACACAACTCCCTCTTGATCCTTGTGCAGGTTCTGCATGAGCACAATGAATTGTTCTGGAATTTCCTTTCTTCTCAAGACTATCCATAGTTTGTTATGATCCACACAGCTGAATGCTTTTTCACAGTCAATAAAACACAACTAGACGTCTTTCTGGTATTCTTTCCTTTGAGCCACGATACGTCCAACATCAGCAATGATATCCTTTGTTCCATGTCCTCTTCGGAATCTGACCTGGGTTTCTGTCAATGGACTGTTGCAACTGATGTTAGATGGTCCTCAGCAAAGTTTCACTTGTACGTAACATCAATGACATTGTTCTATAGTTTGCACAATCTGTTGGGCCAGCTTTCCCTTGGATGGATGCAAATATGGATCTCTTCCAGTGCGCTGACCAAGTGGCTGTCTTCCAGCTATCTTGGCACAGACAAGTGTGTGTCTCCAGTGCTTCATCCGCTTGTCGGGATATTAAATTGGTATTGCATCAATTCCTGGAGCCTTGTTTTTGGCTAATGCCTTCAGCTTGGATTTCTTCATTCAGGAGTTCTTGCCCAAATGCTACCTCTTGAAAGGGTTGAATGTTGACCCATTCCTTTGGAGACAGGAACGCCATCATGTTTGGATGCTTCCTGCATCATTCAAGAATTTGCCTATTGAGTTTTTCGATATTGCAACTCATGGTTTGAATTTTTTCTTCAGTTCTCTCCGTTTAAGACATGCTGAGCATATTCTTCCTTTTGAGCCTTTGAACATTTCATTAGAACCGCTTACTTTGTTTCCTCAAGCTGCCCTTAAATGTTTGAGTTCATCATTTCTTCCACTTGCCTTAGTTACTCTAGAATTAAGAGCAAGTTTCAGAATCTCTTCTGATATACACTTTGATCTCTCTTTCTTTCTTTCTTGTCTTTTTAGTGACCTTTTGCTTTCTTCATGAATGATGCTCTTGATGTCCTCCCACGGCTCATCAGGTCTTCTGTCAGTCATGTTCAACGTGTCAAATACATTACGAGATGTTCTTGAAATTCAGTGGGAGAGGCTCAAGGTCATATTTTGGCTCTTGGGGACTTGTTTTCATTCTCTTCAGCTTCGACTTGAACTTGCACATGAGCAAGTAATGGTCTGTCCCACAGTAAGCCTCTGGACTGGTTTTCGTGCTGATGTTGAACTTCTCCATTGTCTCTTCCCACAGTGGTGGTCCATTCGACTTCTGAGAAGTCTATGTGTATTTTTGGTGTTGTTGAAAAGATATATAGTTGTAATAAAGAAGTAGCTGGTCTTTCAAAATCCTATCATGTGATCTCCCCATTTCTTTCCATCACCAAGGCCATAGTTCTCAACTACGGTTCCCTCTTCTTTGTTTCCAACTTTTGCATTCCAATGGCTAATACTTACTAATGCATCTTGAGTGTACGTTTGATCGATTTCAGACTGAAGATGCTGGTAGCATCCTTCCATTCCTACATCGCTAGCTTTAATAGTCAGTGCATCACTTTGAAGAAAAATTGTATCGACTGCATTTCCTTGAAGGAGGATAGACATTATCCTATCCCATCCAGCAGTGTACTTCAAGATGGATCTTGAAATGTCTTTTTTTTTTTACAAAGAATGTGACACTATTACTCTTGAATCTGTCATTCCAAGCATCATAAACCGCAAGATTTTCTGATACGAAGTGGCCAATACCCATCCATTTTGGTTCACTGGTGCCTAGGATAGTGATCGTTATGAATTTCATTTCATTTTTAATGGCTTATAGTCTTCCTAGATTCCTACCCCATACGTTCCCCATTCCAATTAACTGGAAATCTAAGTGATCTTGGACTTAAGGTGGGCCCCACGGTTAACCGTTGTCCTTAGAAGAAGAAACGAGAGCAGACACGCGGGGAAGTGGACCACAGAAAGCTGGTGGCAGCGACTGGAGCCAGGCAGACCCACCTAGGACCATCAGGGGTTGTCTGGAGCTGCAAGCTGATAGTTTTCTGTCACCTGTGACAGCAGGCCTGGAAACCTAAGATAGTCATTTCCGAAACCTTACAGCCCTTGACATCTCCTACTGGCACCGATCCCTTTGGTTGTATCATATTTGAAGTGACCACATCATAGCTCCTTAAAGGAAAAAGTCTCATTTTTCTAGAATGGCGGCAGCACCTGGCACAGTGTCCTGCACCTAGTACCTCAAAAATCACCATCAAATGACTAAATGCATCCAATGAGTCAGTCGAGGATGATAGCAACAGTTTGGCTTTGAAGCCAAATAAGTCAGGCTTCAAATCACGGCTCTGTCGCTTACTAGCTGGGTGGCCTTGGGCAAGTCACTGAACCACTCCGAGCCTCACTGTGCTCCACTGTAAAGTAAGAATGATGGATATGGTTTTCAAATACCTAGGGAAGTATCTAAGTATCCCTGGCGGCATAGTGGTTACACACTGAGCTGCGATCTGCAACGTCAGGAGTTCCATCAGCCACTCCTTAGGAGGGAGACAGGGCTTTCTACTCCTGGAAACAGTTACCGTCACAGAAACTCACAGAGGCAGTTCTACCCTGTCCTAGAGGGTCACCATCGATGGATGGTAGTGGGTAGAGCAGTAGCGTAGTGGAGCATTTCACCAGGAGGCATCATTCTCTCTCGAGATCTCCAGGAGCCTCAAAGCCTCCTGCCTAGAATGGCGGGGACAGTGTTGGACAGGTTTCAAAGCAGGAGGTGGTGACTACTGCAAAATCAGAGAGAGGACCAGGCATTTGGGGTTGCGTTCTGAGCTAGAAAGGCGAGACAGTGAGCAAGCGGCATGTGGACTGAAGTATCCATTCATTCCATAAATACAGAAGCATTTCAAAAAGCTCATGGAAAAATCCCACTGTCCGTTCATTCCAATTTCTGTGACCTTTTGAAAGCCCCCTCGTACATCTTGGGAGGATGCAGGAGAGGGAGCTTTGGGGAGAGGCTGGCAGATAAGGAACGGGAGAGTGGTATGATTGGGAAGTGAGAATCGAATGAGAGGCAGAGGTCAGGGTTAAGGATGATGGGGGATACTGGGAACTGAACCAGAGACAAGGATGCTGGGAACACCCATGAGGTGGGAGTGGGTGATGGGCTGAGAGGACAGGAGAGTTCTGGGTGTCGCCTACTCACTTCTTCTCCTGGGTCTTCTTGAGGATGAAGGTGATGAGCTTCTTGAGCAGCAAGACGAAGATGAGGAGCCCGATGACCCCGCCCACAACCGCCAGGATGATGCGCATCAAGGTGTTGTCCACCACCTCCACTGCACGGCCAGAGGGAGGAAGAGGGGGAGACAGGGAACAGGCTTCACCTGGAGCTGAGCACCATGGCCGTCCAAGGTGTCTAGGCTCCATCCCTACACAACTCGCTATCGGGTGCCTTCAGCCCTCCCCGGGCCCTAGAGCAAGAAGCAGGAAAAGCAGAGCACAGCGGCCATCAGAATAAGGTACCGCCCCAGCCCACGGTCCACAAACTCCTCCCCACGAGTTCTGAAATCATCTAGACTCTGAGTTCACAGCACCCAGGTTTGAATCATGGCCTCAAACCGCCAGCAGTGGGGAAATGCCACTGCCTCTTTCTAGGTCTCCTTTGCCAATTCTGAAAATAATGAAGACTCCCCCTGTGCGGCTCTCATAATGCCGGGTGGAGTTAGACAATCACAACGACAGATGTCGGTACAGAAGGGGAGGAGGGACTCGAGATAAGGGCTTTCCTACCCAAAGAAGCAGAGTTGGTGATTGTGGGCGGGAAGGGGAAGCAGCAAGCTAGGGGAAGACAGGTGAGGTTACTTGGGTGAAAGGGAAGATAGTCTTCTAGAAGGGAGGCAGGGGGAGGGAACAGGGTAAGCTATTGGGAGGTCAGGGAAGCTATTTCAGTTGCTGAATACAAAAATGATTATCTGTAGTGTCAACCCCTGCCTAATTCACAATAACAGTTTAATTTTTTTAAATGACGATGCTAATAAAATTTCTTTTTGGTCTATGATCTCTTTGGCATAGTGGGAAGACTTCAGCATCGGCTAGATGTGGATTTTAAGCATAGGTCTGTAATCCTTGGCACTTGCTTTGACTCCGGTAATGAGTGCCAGTCTGGGAACCCCACAGGGGCAGTTCTGCCCTCTCCTGGACGGTTGCTGTGAGTCTGAATCGCCTCGACGGCAGTGAGTTTCATTTTCAGTTCGGGCCTCGGTTTCCTCATCTGAAAACGCCTGACTTCCTCC